CGGCGCGGGCCCACGTGCCCGGCTGACACACGGCCGGGGGGTCCCGCTCGCCGCGCACACACGGGCGGACGTGTCTCCCCGCTCCCCGAGGAAGGGCCGGTTCTCCAGGATGCCCCTGAGCCCCCGGGGCTGGCAGGGGCAGGGCACAGCTCCGTAGGGCACGTGGGGTTGGCACAGCGGGGCAGGGAGCTGTGGAAGCAGGACCGTGGAGCCAGGAGGGCAGCCAAGCAGGCAGCGGGAAGCTGTGCAGGCAGGAGAGGAGTGGGCGGGGGTCCCGATGGGCACAGGGCCCATGGGGACAGGATCCCCCATCACCAGTGGCAAGTGGGGCCTGACCTGCTCTGGCACAGCAGGACACCCGTGCCAAGACACGTTGGGTCGTGCCGTGCCAGGCCATCCAGCTGCTCCCAGCTGTGCTTCTCCCACTCCTTTAATCAGTAAGGCAGTGGCGGCAGCAGCCGTGTCCTTGTGTTTTGTGTCATCCTTATCTCAGCCCCGATAACCATCTCTGCCTTCGTGAAGGTCCCACCTCCACTGGGTCTTTCCGGCAACAAAATGGGAGGGGGAAACAGGGAGAAATGTCACCTTTAGGGCCATCAGTTACCAGGCCACTCTCCAGGGGGACTGGAATGTCCTTGCAAACAGGTTACGTGTGTCAGCACCCCGTTCCCTACAGATTGGATCCGTTTCCCTCCACGCTGCCGTCGCTGTGTGTCTCTGGAGCTCACGGGGTTTTCCAAGCTGCTTTTCCAAGCTGGCACTAACCAGGCGGGTCTAAAGGGAAGCTCTCCCCACCCCAGCTACTCCTGCCGCTGTCAGCCTGCGGTGGAGAAGGAAAAAGAAAGGCAGAAGGAACCGAAAGCCCTGGCGTGAGGTGCCTTTGTTCAGGGCAAGTTATGCGTGAAATCTTTTTGTCCTTCCTAAAGGAAGGCAAAAGTTGCAGTTGATTTGGGGAGAGAGAGGCGAGTGTGACCCTCGGGGGGGGGGGGGAGGTGCCAGGTGGGCAGGCTGGAGGGGGTGGGTGGGCAGACCCCAACGGGAATCTGTGCTGGTGTCGTGTCCTCCCTTTTCCTCTGTTTTCCTCCCTTTATCCCCTCTTTCCCCCTTTCCTTTCCTTGTCTTGCCTTGCCTTCTTCTCCAACACATTCATCAGGCCTGACTTCGACCTTTTCTTTCCAAACCTGCACCTGGTGGCTGCGTTCCCTGAAGATGTTTTATTACACAGGGTAGTTGCCCAATTCCCGACGGCAAAATCTCCCGAGGGTGTATCAATATCTGCACGTGGTTTGGCTGTGCCCAGCCTGGCGGCTCCATCCTGGCAGGGCCCTGCAGGAGGGGGCTGGCTGTCCCTGGGCACCCTGGCAGGCCGTGCCCCAGCTGCTGTGGGCAGCAGGAGCAGGGCTGGAGAGCTCCCAGCTGCCCGCACGGCTGCCCTCGCCGGAGGCTTTCCCGGTGCTCCCGGGGGAGGGAGGAGGGAATTGCTTTGTTGGCTTTCCTCCCTCTCCCTGCCTGCAGCCCGTGCTCCAACCGGGTGCCCTCGCTCCCCCCCGAGGGGCAGCTTTGGGGTGTCCGTGGGGTGGTGGGGTTGGAGGGACTGCTCCCTGTCCCTCAAACACAAACCCTGGCACCGGCCCCTCTGCCAGGCTCATCCCAAGGATGAATATCCGGGATATCAGTGATGGGAAGCACACAGGGAGCACAGGCAGAGGAGCTGTCACAGGCAGAGGCCCCTGCCAGCCTGAGGCACTGTATCACTGGGAGTTCCTGTGAACTCCTGAAAACCCAGGGCAGAATTCCTGCTGGGAATCACTGAGGACACCTCACAGGGCTGGAGCAAGTGGCCAGTCCCCTGGGAAGCGGCCAAGTACCAGGAGTGGGTTCTAAGAGGTTCTTGGGAATGTAATCCCTGTGAATGAGCAAACCCCCAGAGCTGAGCCGTGCCCAGATTCCCAGGCTTTGTATCTCCACATATTCCAGGGGAGTGCAGAACGTGACCCATCACACCCTGCTTGCTGTGCTGCAGGATGGAATGTGGGGAACATTCAGCAACACCTTTGGCAACCCCTTTGGGGAAGTTTTCCAGCCAAACCTGCTGGGAGCAGCTGGGGACACCAAGACAAGGAAGAAGCGGACGCGGTGGAGTTTTACGGACTCTCAATGCACAAGAAACCATTTTATTTAAAACCAACGCATTCAATGTGGGGTTATGGCACATGAGTCAACGCTGCAGGCACATCACACCGCGGGGGCACACCGGGGGCTCACTGCCACGAGAGGAGCCAGGGCAGGCTGTGCCGTGCAGCCCTGGGGCTGGACACACCCCTGGCCAGGTCCCAGTGCCCCCAGCCCTGCTCTCGAGGCTCTCCAGGGGTGGGAGGCTGGACACCAGTGTCCTTCCCACCGCTCACCTGAGACGCGCCCTGGCCCCTTGTGAACATCAGCCATTTCAAAATAAACAATGCTTTTAGTATGGCCATTAATTATGGAACCTTTATTACAATTATGGCATTTTTTTCTTTTTTTTTTCTTTTTTTTTCTTTTTTTTTTTCTTAAATATTTCTATTTTTTTATCGAAAACAACTCCCTCAGGCATTGCTGAACTGTAGAGCCATTGGAATGGAGACACATTCATTCACAGAAGACCTGCTTTTTCATGTTCACAGTCAGTTCTGTGCCACAAACACTTGTTTTTTGGTTCCCTCCACGAGCAAACCCGGCAGCCCAAACGCCTGTTTTCGTGAGCCTCCTCTGAGGAGATGCAAGCAACGAAAATCCCCCCCCAGGATGTATGAAAGGAGAAAGGGAACACGCGTTTCCAATCCTATGTACACCCCCAGCACCCCCTGAGGGGGGTCCTTGGCCCCCCTCCCTTTGGCAGAGGGGCTGGAGCAGGATGTGGCTGCCCCTGGACAGGGTCTGTGTGCCCATGGAAGGAGCCAGACGGGAGGATTCCTCTGGATTTGGGAGCCTGAAATGTCCTGTACTTACAGCTATTGATCCTGCTGCATCAGCTCTCTTGGCTCATCCAGACATGAGAGGGAGGGTTCTCCCTGAGCCATCAGGGACTCGTGCAGGAACATTTGGGGCCGGACAGAGGGAAGGAAGAGCCCAGCCGAGGTGCTGCTGGCCGTCCAGAGCAGGGAGGCCCCTTCTGAACAACAATCAGATGAGCAATAAGGGACTGGTTTATCAGTGGAAAGGCATTTCTGCTGCAGAGAGGCACTGTCCTCTCCATCCCCTCCATCCTCGGCCCTCCCTCGCATCCCAGCGGATCCCCCGACGAAAGCTGCACCTTTGGAGGTGGTTTTCCACACCTCAAAAAAAAAAAAAATATTGATAGGGAGAAGCAATTTACTTTGGGCTGTGCTGCGCCATCGACCGCGGGGCGGGAGCCCCGCTCGGATCAATGATTCCGGAATGTTCCGCGGGGGCTGCGCCGTCGACGGGGAGTTCGGCTCGGAAATCAATGCTGTAATGTGGAGCTCTGTCGATAATGTTCTCCTGCGCTCCCCTCTCCCAATATTTGCGGCGGGGTTTGTGCTTCCTCCTCTGGAAAGTTCCGGGCACTGTCCCTCTTTCAGGCTCCAAAAACTGCCTGGAGCACATCAGGCCTTGCTTTCCTTCCGATACAACAATGGCAGTTCACGTTCCTTTAATTTGCTGATTAGAAATGATCGCTCCCTGCAGGCAGTGGATGAAGTGCCCCTGGATAAAAATATCTGGCATTAATAAGCACGAGCCCCTGGCAGGTTCAGGCCCTCACAGGTGATGACAGCACCGGTGAGAGGTGAGAATATCCACCAGGAGCTGAGCCAAAACAGCCTCTGGCCCAGCAAATCTGGGAAATGTGGGATAATTCCAACAAAGAAGGGAGGCAGGGGAGAACGGGGCTGGCTCTGGGGGCGGTGGGGCTGCGGTGCCACGATGGGCACCGGGAGATGCTCGGGGCTGCTTGGCTTGGGGGTTGTGCCAGAGACCTCCTTCCTCACCTCCTGCAGCTGCTGGGAGGTAAAGAGGCTGAGGAAAAATAGCATGTGCCCTTTTAAAGTATGATTCAAATGGGATTTTGCATCCCTTTGTCAGTGTGTGGTCAGTTCTCACACAGAATAGGAAAAAAATGTTTAAATACTTGCTGTAACAAGGAACTCAGTTCTTTCCCAGGATTCTTTAAACCAAGGCATAATGGCCCACGTTTCCCAGCCCTCAGTGACCCTCAGGTTTGTCCTGTCTCCAACCAGCCTGATTTCCTCCCGTGACCGGGAACTGGGGCCACTATTTCGGTTGTTTGACTGGGGAAATAGAGAGGTAAATGGGGAAATCTTTTAGCTTTAAAACAAATGACCAGATGGGAATGAACTTGCTTCAGCCTCTCTAATCTGGACCGGGATGTGTCCCAAATGGAATTAAAACCCCGAAGTATTCCAAGAGCGATATAAACACCTAGCTGAGGTACGAACCGTGTCGTGACCTCCTTCTTCTTCTTCTTGTTATTCTTTAAAAAATGTAAAGTTCAGGAAATAGGAAAATACCCGGGCGGTGGAACTCTGGAACTGGCTCGTGAGGATGCACTGGGATTCCCAGCGCCACGGCGACACCGAGCTATCGAGAGCAACAGAGACAAAAGAAGCAAAACCTTTCAAAATCTAGTCCTAACGGGGGAAGGGAACGATAAAACGGAGGGATTTTTAGTGGGAGGCTAAAACATGAAGAGCTCTTAAAACATACTGAACGGCTTCTCTAGGAATGCAAGACATCTCCACTTTGCTGCTGCACAAACCGCACCCACGGAACGCGATAAAAAGCTGCTGCGCCGCTAAACAAGCTGAGACCCCCGGAGGGGCAGGGGCTGAAAAGCATCTTTACATCACGGAAAAGGTTTTCAGGGCGGGTTTGTTTCCTTTTCCTTTTCAGACTTCTGTCTGGAGAAGGTTTAAATTCTGGATTTGGGCACTTTTTCAGGCGATCATTTGGCACTTGGAGCTGTAGGTCCTTAGGCACAGTGCGACAGGGTGAGCTTGGCCAGTCCTTCGCCGTGCATCCTGTAGAGCAGCTGGAACTCGGCGGGCAGCTGGTGGGACTCCTGCCACTTGGTGGTGAACTTGGTCCCCTTCTTGTCGTAGTAGTGGTACGGGAGGTCCTCCCGCGTGTTGGGGTCGAAGCCGAAGGGCCAGAAGCCGTACAGGTGGATCTCCTCGCAGATGGCAGAGGCCAGGGTGTACATGAGGATCCCCGTGCTCAGCCGCTTGGGGGACAGGTGCTTGTTCCGCCAGTACCTGGGGAGAGGAAGGGGTGTCACAGAAATGACCAAAGGATGTGCTGAAGCAACGACAAAGCTGCCATCGCTCTCAGAACGAGCCTGTGCCTGCCACGTCAGGGAAAAAGAAACATGGGAACGATTGTACAAGTTGTATTTTGTGAAGGCAAACGCGAGGCAAGCCCACCCACCTGTTCACGTGCTGCATGATATTCCCTGGCCAAGCCAGCTGGACCTTCAGCTGCCCTCTGTGCTCCACGAAGAAGTCGACCAGCGTTCTCGTGACCGTCGCCGACGTGTGGAAGAAGAAGGCGGGGATCCAAAGGATGGCCCCGTCGAGCTTTTTCAAGCTCAAGAAGAAGTTGTTGCGGTCCTGAATGGTCAGGAGGTTGTTGTAATACTTCTCCAGGATGCTGGGGTTGAAGGTGGTGAGGTTGGTCTTCCTCCCCACGTCTTTTTGGAAAGCCTCGGTCGGGGCGAAGTTGCAGCGAAAGACGAAATCCGATTTATCGATCTCCTGCCCGCACTGGCTCCCGGTCAGGATCCCGCTGTTCCCCACCACGGCACAGATGTTGTAGTGCTTGTTCAGGATGGGAGACACGTCGGGAAGCAGGGACCTGAAGTTATTGCTGATGGAGAAGACGTACTTGTGGCTGGAATAGTCGTAGTGCATCAGCTGCCCGATGCGGACGCTGCTCTTGGTCAGGGAGAAGTTCTTGATGACGTCGACGTGCTGAAGGATTTCCTGCCTAAGGAGCAGAAAACACGGACTTACAGCCCTTTCTTTTTGCTGTGGCAATGGCTTTTAGATTAATATAAATAGCTGGGAATTGGGGAGCTGGCTCCTCACCTCGGGCTCTGCTTCTGAGTGGCACCAACTGAGGCTGTGTCTGTGCCTCTTGGAATTGTGTCGGGATTAAAACATTGGGCTGTCTGTGTAAGTCAAGGGTACAGCTCGTGGTACACCCTGGTGTGGGGAGTGTGTGACATTGTCCTGTTTGTGCTGGGACATGGTGGGCAGGTTTCTGCTGGGGCTCTGTGGGTGCACCCCGGATATCCAGCTGAATTAACAGGAGCCAATTTATAAATATCTCCGTCTTTATGTCCTCATTAACAAGCTTTGAATCACAAAACCAAGCGGCAGCCTCTGTCTCCGTCTATGCAAATGTAGTTCCTTAATGTCTCATCCACCGGCAGCTTTACAAGGGTTATTAGGGAGACTTACAAAGCAAACAAAACCAACCCTGCTCGGGAATTTCCCTCGCAGGGCATAAAATTAGAAACCCAATACCACTTTATTTGCTCGTGTTTATGGAAAACAAACAACCTTTCCTCCAGCTCTCATCCTCCAATGTCTGAGCATTAATGGAGTCCCACTGGGTGCCCTAATTACGGGCTCTGGCTGCCGGACAAGTGCAAAGGCAGCTCCTGAGGCATCAGCTAAAATCATCGGGGGGCGGCACAGGGACAGGCTTATGGAGCTGGTGGTGCCAGGAATGGCCACTGTCACACAGTCCGGGATGTCCCAGGGAAAAGGTGGCACGGGCAGAGTGCCACCTCCCCTCCGGAGGGCAGCGGGCAGCATATGGTGGCACTGGAAGGGAATGATTTGTCCTGCTGCGCCTGGAGAGTCGCCTGAAGGGAGGAGAGGAGCCCAACCCTGCCCCGAGGGGTGCAGCAGCCCCATCCTGCCTGGCTGCAGAGCTGAGGGGCCTGGATTCCAGCTCCTGGGGTGGGATGTGTGAACTGTGAGTTGTGAGGCGGCCCCCGAAGCAGCGGGCGTTTGTCAGGACAAAATGACAGTCCAGGATGGCAGTAGCTCTCTGAAATGGCTAAATGGCTCTATTTTCATCTCCAGAAAAGTTTAATCTGTGTAATCAGCAAATAGATAGAGCGCCCAAAGCCGTGTGCCCGCCCCCGCCGCCGGAGCGGAGCCGGAGGCAGGAGCAGCACTGCACTTGCTCAGAGCTGCCGGCAGCTGGGAACTTTCCCTGGGCGTGTTTTGGCCTCCATGAACGTGGCACTCCATGGCTGTTCCAGCCCTGGGTGCTTCCAGTTCGAGCCCCCGGCCGCTTCTCCCGGAGGAATGACACTTTAAATCGCGCACCAGGAAACTGGGTCGCGTCCCGGCACGATACCGGGTGTGCTGCAGCCCGGTGTCCTGCTCCGAAATAATCGAGCCTGCCGGGGCAGCTGCAACCGTCTGGGGAAGCGCTCTGATTCAGCCTTTGTCTCTCGCCGCCGGCAAACCCCTCGGAGCTCAGAGGGCTGAGCAGTCCCTGAGCGCATTCCCTGAAATCCCGGGGGCAGGGGACAGCCCGGCCCGGGCCCGGGGGCTCGCTCACCTCTGCTGGGCGAAGGCGCTCCGGTTGAAGGCCCACCTGGAGGGCTTCTCCTGCAGCTCCTGGCTCAGGGAGTTGGTGATGGGCACGAAGGAGGGGTCCAGGAACTTCAGCGCGAACTGGGACCTGGGGA